AATTCTTTATAAGCTGTATTAGATACATTTAATGTTCGAAACGTATTACGGATATTTTGAGTTTTTGGTTTTTATTGTTCTTTAATATCAAATATATGTTTATTTTTTTAAGAGACTGTTCTCATATTTCGTACAATTATGTGACATGTCACAATGAAAATATCTCCAGCCGATCTAAAGTACAACATTTTATGGTCCAGTTAAAACTTAGTAGTCGATTTATCATCATCATACTCATTATTATTTTAAAGCCCATCACAAGTCCTCTGCTGAACATAGGCCTCACCTACCTCAATCACCTACACAGACCTACATCAATGGACTTTCTGTATTTCTTACCAGGTCGTCACTCCATCTAGTGGAGGATTTTTGTATCGATTGTCAGTTCATTGAGCTATACATTCGCCGTATTGTTACTACAGCTTACTCATCTATTAGTATACTTTGTTTCTAGTGTGGATATCTTTATTACAAAAACTATCACGCTGAGATATTCGTCAAGGAAGAAGGAAGCTCATGGTCACTCAGCGAAGCTAAGGTGAGAGTTACTCTCCACAGCCTCGCTAAGCGACCATGAGCTTCCTCCTTCCTTAGAAAAGTTAAGGATCACATCTAAATTCCTTTTGTTTTTATATGATATTTAGCCGTGGAAAGAAAAGCGGAGATCTCCCACCTAACAATATGTTCAGCCCGGCGAGCGGCTAACGCTCCTTGTGTTAAAACATAGCTGTTCTCTATATAAGGCAGTAATTCGGAACTTTGATATCATGAATTATTATAGCGTGTGTTTTGTTTCTGGAGCGACGATAGCACTACCACGTCATCTCTTACTCAGACCGTAGATCGATGGTGCAGTCTAGTTGTCAACTAATGTGCAAGTGTCAGAAATTGCCTTGTAGTTTGCAGTGAGTCGAGAAGAAGGTAAGTTATCTGCGAGCATGCCGTGAAGCAGAGACAAACATTAAAGCTCAGAGCCGTGCCGAATACAGTAGCGCAAAGAATAGCTTGAAGGAACAGGAAAGGTTATTACAGTTACGCGAAGAACGTTGTAAAGCTAGATTGCTTGTAGGATTTTAAGACTGCAAACAATATCTGCCCAGAAACGAATAGATAGGGTGCTTGAGGTCGACGACGAAAGCTTGAAATTGAGGTTTCCGTCGGTTGCACGCTACGTGTTAAAATCACGTCGGGGTCACCAATTTATCTGCAGAATAAAAAGGGATCTTCTAGCAGGCAGTGTTCAGCCCAGAGAGTGGTCAACGTTCCGTGTCTTTGTACAGAGCTGTTATATAAATAGCGCTGTTCTTGAGAACTTCGTTACCGTGATTTAGACTTCGGTGTGTTTCGTTTGTAGCGTGACGACAGCGCCGTCATAGGCATATAAAGATTTTGCAGTAAGAAAGTAAAAGTGTAAATAACAACGCCTTGTTATCTTTATTGTTATTGTTACTAATGGAACAGTCACAATATTATGCAAAATAGACGATAAAAACTGTATAATACAAAAAAAAAAAAAACAAAAAACGCGTACTCGATAAAAATAATTAGTTTCCATAATAGGTTTTGTGGAAATTGTGAAGTGATAAGAACATAAATGAAGTTTTAATAGCTACATACAATCTCAATACATGTGATAAAATACTTCACTGATTTCAAATTACTAGCGACGAGCTTTGTCGATATTATCGGTAACTAAATGTCAGTTAAAAGGGGCAGCACTAAAAGTTCAGTCGGCCGGCCCGCAACAATCTAGCTAATTAAATATGTGCAACAAGATACGATAACGCAGTGATTTACATACTGAGTCGATCTCCTTACGACGTTTTTCAATCGTCTATAGTTAATGTACTCAATATATATACACAATAATGTACACAATAATAGTGGATACCGTATCAAATAACTTTAAAAGAAACGACTGTGAAAGAATATACAGGGTTATTTTTCTAAGAGAAGCCATTTTAAGCTTAAGTTCAAATACATATATAAATAATGATATACCGCTATTGGAGTTTTTGAAAATTCGAGTAAATAAGGCTTCTACTTGCATTTGAATTACCCCAAATTGAATGTGATTTACGAGTAACAACGTTTTCACCGATCGATCCTTACGAACGTGTGCAGTAAAATCAGTTAAAATAATGCTATAATCAATTAAAAGATAAAATGGAGAGAATGTTTGAGTTTTTTTTAAACTAATTTTTTTTCACCATTTGTCTAAATTACTTATTATCAACCTTCTCTTTGCAAATTTGGCCGGTGATTGCAAAGTAACCCTGCATATAAAGTTGATTTGGTATAAGAAATATTTTATAATTACTTGTGCGGAAGTTAAATAAAGGGCAAAGGCACATTCTGTGCAAAGAAGGTCGATGTGCGATATCTTCATAATTCGTAATATCAGCCCATAGGAATCCATAGCTGGACATTGACCTTAATCGTCATGGATATGTCTTAATCTTGTGATTGCAGGTGGATTGACGATTGTAGTATCAGACATCACGCACCTTTGACGTTGTTATCGGTTGCCGGTCTCAATATTTTATGTTTGGCCAGATTTGATATTGTATGGCGGTACATCTATTGTAAGCTAGGAGATATTTCTGGCATGCCCCATTGTTTCCTATCAAACCTTCAAGCAGAGGACGAAATGAGAGTATAAATTTTCTTACGCCGCCACCATACGGCGCCATAGCCACATGTATCACACAATTGCTCCATTGACAGTAAGCCTTTGCTCCTTTAGTTGGTACTTTACTAAAATACTCTTAGTAGTTGTGTTTTTTACAGGATACGGTGACAAACGAGCACACAACCCACCTGATGGTAAGTGGTTGCTGTGGCCCATAGACATCTACATCTATACTGCAAATAAAGTGATTTTCTTGCTCTAAAAACTCTTTTTTCTATGTCTCCTCGATTACGAATCAAAATGCAGATGCGTTGACACCCGTTAGGACTAAGATGTAATGCCTCGTTTCCAGTAAAAAGGGTCTCCGGTTCTCTCTACACTCACCATACGAAACACAACGGCATTAAGCTACTATTTTACTCTGGTATTCTGTGAGGTCCTTTCCCGGTCGAACCGACGCATTCCTGCTATAGCTATACTACTAATATAACTGCAGGATGACTCCATCACGTATAAAAAAACATGTTTAAAGAAATGATCCAGTGCTTTTAGAGAACGTCGTCATCGTCCAAAGTCCATACAAAATCCGCTGCTATTTGAATTCATCCTATTTTGAATATTTATTATAAACTGGCAACCCGCTCCGTCTCGGCTTCTTTTAAGGCAACTGAGGACCATTTATTTTATTCGTTCTTCGTTTAAAAAATCATATTCAGGTTTTTAGGATAAAATGTAGAATAAATCCCTCTTCGCATTGCTCTTTACCTCTTCGTAAGTTTCATCACTATCGATCGGTTCAACCATTCCGAAGAGTACTCCGGCCACAGAGGCGGACAGACAGACAGACAAACATTTAAAAATGGTCGTTTATAAAATAAAATAAACAAAAGTCGTTTATTTCGACCACAAGGGTCATAGATGTTAGTAATAATACAAATCTTAAAACTAATGTTAGTAAAACTTAAAACTATTTACCTAATTTTAAAACTATATCTAAGACAGGCCCGATTAGTCAGCACGTGCACCATATGACAATGGGTCAGGTACTGGCAATCAAACCTGTTAGAAAATGCCCTCTGGGTGGTGTAGAAACAATCCACACGCGCATCCACGAACATACCCGACGCACCACAATAACGAGGCAGACCCAACAGCACCCTGAATGCAGAACACGCAGGGCATTATACTGTTTCTGCGTGTAGTCCACCCACAGACAGCTCGTGTAAAAGGAAGTTCAATAAGCTCTAAAGAGCGTTACTTTAATAGGAACTGAACAACGAGCGAGCCTGCGAGCGATCATGTTCGCTCTAACAGACAATGCCTTGCGCTCTCTCTCTATGTCAGCATCATCTTTCAGGTCAAAGGATACTATATGACCCAGGTACTAATCTGAGACACCTTCTTAACGGGCTACCGTATAACTTAATGGGTGGTATATATGAGGGCAAGACTTTACCTTTAGCCTGAAAGACCATGCATTCGCTTTTCTTGACATTATAACTCAATCCGTGACTGCGGGCGTAGCTTTCACATATCGACGATGAAGTGACAAGAACCTTTATCTACCAGAACATGATTTTACAGGAAAGGAAAAAAACTTTTTATTTATTTTAAACGCAAGGTATCAAAAATACTATTATTGGATATATATTAAATAAGTAGCGGGTATAGGGGGCTATGTGCGACTAGTGTATATACAATCAACTTTTTGATTTAGACGTAGATAGGTGATATTGCAATCTAGGCTTTGAAAATATACATTATAATAGCAAAGATAGAAGATATTTCTAGTAAGGAATTTCTATAATATTTTAAGGAAAAGGCGTGATTTTCATAGAATAATTTTTAATTAACTTAAAATGTTTTAGATTGTTAGAAAATAACATTGTCATATTAATTATTACAGTCAAATATCTGATACAACATAAAAATGGCTACATTGCTCTTGAGACTTAATTAAAAGAAAACAGAATATAATCAGTTTATAATTACGATTATTGGAACAAATACAATGGAAGAAAAAAACATGTTATGCCGACCGCAAATAAAATCGGACAAGGGCAGGAAGATGATGTTGGGACAACTATGTTGTCTCAAAAATTATGTTTTATTAAATGAACCAAATGGTTCAAACAAATGGCAAAGTGTCATAAAAATTATGGCAATCTTTAGGTAATACTGCTTTTAGTTGTTGCAGGTGGTTGTACTTCGTTACAGTAATTGGAATTTTGTTAGGATGTAGTGGAGGATAGATTACTTCCGAAGCTAGTAAGTTAGGTCTGTGCGGTAAAGGAATCAACTGTTCGTCAAAACCCAGTTTAACTTCGATTGTCATAGTATTGTACTTTATTACTCTGATATCTACAACCTGTGGATCGCCAGCTTTGCGGCCTGGTCGAATACTTTTATAAAGCATATTTTCAGGTCGGGCATAATCTTTAACAAATTCATGATCTACATTAATTGATTCATAAGGGTTAGTTCTTCGTGCCTCTTTAGTAATCGTGACATAATCACTAGGCAAATGTATTTCCCGATTTTTGAGTTTTCGCTCAATAGTACTGTGAACCGAGTCACACTTCATCTGAGTGTGACCTGGTTCTAAAAATTTTTGCGTTATGATTACGTTATGTTTCTTGCTCAAAAGGAGCAGTTCATTTGCCAGCACACAATTACGATTCTGGTATGTGCACCCGTCGGAGTAAATAACAATTGGTAACTGATGTGGAATACAATGTCTTTCTAAATAATCAATTAAAAACATCGCAAAAGTGCTAGACGTTAAATCAGCAGAAGTTTCGTCGAACCAATAACAACTGCAGTGCTTGGTTACTAAATTAAAAACAGTGAAATTATGGCACGTTAACTTTGTCTTGAAATACAAAGCACTAGCAGTAAGGTAAGGACAAACCTTCACAGCCTCTAAATCCATATATAAATTCTCCAGCAGCTGCTTTTTTCTTGTCCTCTTCTTTTTCTTGTCTAGCTCTGTTTTTCTTAATTATATGTATTTGGTAATCTGATTCATTTAAATTACCCGAATTGTAACTTTAACAGGTGTCACACATGTCCTTTTTAAGCGTAAATAGCGACAAATTTTTGTCATGAAAATTCTTTTCAAATGTAAATCTACTAACATAAGGTTGACTAGTTTCAGTGCAATATTTCTTATACGCTTTGTATAAGTCGGAAAGAGAACGATAGATTGGTTCTATGAAGAGTTTAGCTGTATCTTTTCTTGCGTAATGCGACGGCAATTTTGGCTAACTTGTAAAAAAATTTCGAAAGTTTCGTTTCTACTTCTGCTCTTGGAGTCTTTGTTTTAGAATCGTATATTGCATCATGGTTTGAAGTCATGCCAAACTCACTCTTTTTTACCCATGCTTGAACAGTGAACGATCCCAGTGATAAGGTGTTTAAAAACATTTGTTTACATACATGTATTTTATTTGAACAATTTTTTCAACCGGCAAAAAATATGATAGAGTTCCCTCCCGCCTAGATAGTTCACTAGCCGATTTAGGTTTCCGAGATGTACTAGATCGTGTCACCCATCCCGTAACGTAAACTCTTCGTTAATCCCAGATCATTTTCTTCCAAAAATTGCTATGTATATCCTTTCGACAATCCTCAGTGAACCTATCACAGCCTCTTACCTTACTCTTCTTACAAAAATTGGAGACGCAAGTTGGTATTAGCCGTCTTGCTTGTCTTACAGTATCTTGTTGGAACTTCCTATCTTTTGGTTTAGAATATCCTAGATACTCTTCACCTCGCATTGGCTTCAAAAAAGCCTTGTTCCTTTTCCAAGATTTTGGGTCAGCATTGTGACGACGTTTTCGACTATACTTCAGCAAAATTTCTATCTTCAGGAATTTGGTAAACATCATCTCATGTAGATTCGATCTGATCCGGTTTGTTAAACGCAATCAATAAATCAAGATTACTGGTAATGTCCAACAACGCTGGAACCGATGGCGACTTTTTTAGGTAACTAATCATATTGTTTGTATCATGCGTTAAATCAGATAATGACTAAGACCTTACTACGAGACGACGACGAGTGCTTGAATATAAAGAAGTAGATTCGTAATCATTATTGTCAAAGATTTCTGTGGGTTCAAAGCTACAGATTTCTGGTGGACTTAAAACATTGATGTTGGCGTTGATAGCTTCCTTTGGGTTGGCATTAGGGTTGAGATCGCTTTGTTCAGGACTACAGCAATTGCCAGAAAAAGGCGTGTTGATGTTATCTTCAGACTAAAAATAAATAAATAAATCATTACTAAATGTACAGTTAAGATGTTCTTACAAAGTAGGTTCCTATTTATGCAAAGCGGAAGAACTTTATACGCAAAACCTTCACATGATTTTAATATCTTACCATTTCGTGTTGATGTCCAAATATCTGTTCATTTTCCTCAGCAGTAGAATGTCTTAGGTTTGTTACCAAATTATCTTGTTGAAGTTCGCTAAGAATCCTTTTGCTTCTCACTCCTTGTAGAAATCGAGCCATAGCGGTAGTAATAATATTGTCGGCCTATAAAACTATCCGTCTCACTCACGCATTGTTAGCTTATCTATGAAATTATCCTTCCTAGACGCAAGCAGGACCATTCAGTCGGCCGGCAGCTACGTGAAAGTAAGGACGTATCTAGCAGGAGTGAAGATAGGAGGTCTTGACAGAAATAATTTCCTTAGGGTTATTTAGTAGTTATTGATATTAGTTTCTTAGATGATATTGTCAGAAAATTTAATGCACATTTGCTTAATAGTTATTGTCTGTTATTAATAACTGGTTAAAAAATAAGATATAAAGTTAGCTGCTATTGCCTGCTCACGCAAACAATTATTTAAAGTTAATCTACGAAAAAAAAGTAAAATCGCAAAAATGTCAGTTAGGAGTTCTTGTCACTTCATCGTCGATATGCTCAAGTTTTGCCAACCCGCAAACAGAAGCACTCAGCAACACCATGTCATCTGCGTAACTGATGTTGTTGAGGCATACTCCGTCAATATGACAACCGACATGTGTGGTGCTAAGCAACTCTATCAGCGCATTCACATAAAGGTTGAAGAGCTTCGGAGAAGTTAAGCCCCCCTGTCGTAACCCGCACTCCAACCTATATAACCGAATAGATTTCGGACCATCGCACTACATTGACCTGCATTCGATACCAAAATTTGAAGATCCTAGTAACTTCTTCCGGCAGTCCAGTATCTTTCAATTTCTGCCATAGGATATCGTAATTTAGCAGGTAGAACGCCCTGCCAAGGTCCAGAAAACAGGCATAAATAGGCGTTCGTCTAACCGAATAGTACTTCACAGTTTGCTTCAAACATAATATGGCCGACTCTGTTGACAAACCCGGCCTGAAGCCAAACTGATTATCGTGTAGGCATATATGTTTATCAAGCTGGGCATTAAGCAAACTGTCAAGCACCTTTGCAACAACCGTGGCAAGTGAGATGGAACTATAGTTGAACTTATCAGATATGTCCCCAGTCTTGTTCTTTACAATAGGCACTCGACGTCTATTTTCTTTTCTTTTTTTTTCTTAAAATAACGTTACCCCTTTTGCGAAGTTGGAATTTTAAAAGCCTAAAGAATTGACGATCGATGGGTATTACATTAAGCTAGGTAAATATATTCAAAGCTTTGTTCATTTTGTGCCTATCAAACGCATAAAATACAAACAAACAAAAATGAATTTTTATATACCAGATGAAAGTACCTAAAGATCATAAGCTGAAAATCTGCATGAATATTTTTTATTCCCCATTCCGTCCCGTGGGTTTCATAAGAGGCGACTATATATATATATATATATATATATATATATATATATATATATATATATATATAGAATATATATATATATAGAATAGAAGAATAATTAGAAGCCACACACCACACACACACACAAACATATATATATGTTTGTGTGTGTGTGTGTGTGTGTGGCTTCAATAGGTCTGCCTACCAGGGGCGACGATTAATGAAAATTCATCCCACAATGTAAAAAAACCCAATTGGTCTTTCACGGGCTAATGTTATAAAAAAATGGATAACACATTAAAATAATTAAAAGAAGTCACACTGCAACAATAACTTTATAAGAACCATTCTTATTCGAATGCGTTCCCAAATAGGATACAGAGAGAAAAGAGAACATAAAGATAGAGAATTAATGGTAATTGATTACAAATTAACTATTTAAGGTCCGTCCAGAGACTGGCGTCCATTAATGAACTTCACTAGGCGGCGACCGGGTGGCACAAATATATTCCATGTCATGACGTCTACGTATTTGCAATTCATGAATATGCATTTTTTACGACGCTTTACGTTATTGCAAGAATGTATAATATGGGATTGAAGTTTAAACGTTTTATTTTTAGAAGCTTGGCTTTAATGTTTTTTTTTATATACGCTCAAACATTTAATGTAATAGTGTAATTATGAGATTATTATAGTTAATATAGAAAATGAAATCGCATACAAGTTTCTGAATTGCATTTGGTACGTATTTTTCCATCCATGAATTTGGCACAAAGGCGAACTTAATGCCAAAAAGGCATTCTCTGCCAGATAACCTTTGGTAGTGTGATGAGAGCTATGGATGGTGAGAACCGCGAGAGAAAAAACTAACTTATTTACACATATTCAAAACGTATTATGTAGTATGAATATGTTAGTTTATACATATATAAAAGTGTATATAAATTTAAATAAAAAATACATACTATATAAATAAAATACGTACAATCTAGTATAGGAAATTATAATATATAAGCCAATAAAATAATCAAGTAATTTTAAATAATGTGTTTCAAACTTACGTTTAAATGTATTCATAAAAGGTAGTATCTTTTAAATCTCGTGGAAGGTTATTCCAAAGTGTAATTAATGATAACGTTAAGGAATCCGAGTAGTACGTATGTAGATACAGCATTACAGCTTATAAAAGTCCACTGCTGAAATAGGCTTTCCATAGATTTTACCATGATTTTGCATATTTTCACCATTTTTTTGCGATAGTCGCCACGCTTGTCAGGCGGATTTCTAACCACAGTTTTTAATAATTTTTAGTCGTTATCGGAAAGATGCCGCTGCACATATTATATGTATACTGTTTCAGTTTCCATGTCGCTTCTTACGCCAAGTACGAAACGATATTAGTTAGTGGACATTCTAACTCACCACTACATTATTAAAATAGTATTTACGCGTTTATTAGCTTGACCTCTCTGCTACGTGTGTAATTGAATTTTACAATTAATGTAATTGATAAAAATAATGTAATTGAATTTTACAATTCGGTTTTCACCCCTATTGGACGTCTGCTTAATCCGAAATTTTGCAGATGTATGCGTATAGGAACTGGTACATATATATAATCATCATGGATCACGGCGATCAGTCTCAACAGAGACTAGAATGTAGGTATGTGCGCAAGCATAGGGTATTCTCTGTATCCTCACTCTTATAGTCTGATGCAATGGCAAACCAGGGGGAGATCAGGCGCAGAACTAACGTTATTACAGCTTACGAGCCCAGAACCTTTCTGATTCAGGTCTGCTAGTCAGAATTTAATGACAGAAATACCCAATAACTGATTTTGGTCGAACCTGAAATTCGAACTAGAGTACTCATGATCTGCAGTCCCGCTTATAGCCACTAGACCAACGAGGCTTATATGTTATATTGCTTATAGCTTACACTTAACCAGCTTTCCAATCTTTTCTGTCTGTGTGTAGTGTCAAAAAACAGCATTTCATTAAATGCATATGTAAGTATAAACGGTACTTATAACAAAAAAAAAACATTTTAAAAATTTGAAAACGGCTTGACTAATTTTAACGAAATTTCCACTGGCAGATAGTTGATGTTATAAGGAGTAACTTGAGCTACTTTTATTTTAGAATAAGATATGAGGGTTTTGCCCAAAAAAATTAAACCCATAAAATTCGAAATAAATTCGACGCGGGCGAAGTCGCGGGATAGAACCGAGTAATATATAAAGTTATTTATCATAATATTTTGAGCACCAAACGTATGACAAATTTAATAATAATGTATAAACCGCCCAGCCTATGAAAGCGCATTGCTGGCACATCTGTCATAAGAAAGAGTTTTAATAATATTTTATTCCATACTGGCTGGTACCATTCTGCCACAGAATAAATGTGTAAAATTATTATACATTTGGAAGAGTTAGTTATATTGTTTAATTACGAATGATAATAGACTTAATGAAATTGAACGACCTATAAACTTTCAAATAAATTTTTCGATACGATACGCAAACGAAGTATATACAATAATTTGACAAAGTATTAATGCAATCTGATGAATGGTATGGCAGCGTATTAAAGTACGAACAAACAAACATTAACATTTATTGAAATAATACTAGTTTTTACGGAATTTATCGCGTGTATTTAACTTTTTAATTACCCGACGTTTCGAACGCTTTACAGCACTCATGGTCACGGGCAGGACTGTTTTGATGTGCAGTCATTGTTTACATGCTTACCTGTTGAAGACTGCATCTCAATTGTAACTAGAAGGCTGGAAGAAAACAACATGCCCGTAGAATATGCAGTATTACTCAGACACTGCCTGACATCTGGCTACCTATTGTGGAAGGAGGAGTTCTACAAGCAAGTAGATGGTGTGGCGATGGGCTCACCTGTATCTCCCATTGTCGCCGACATATTCATGGAAGACTTTGAGGAGAAAGCCCTGCTTAGTTCTCCCATAAATCCAAGGTTCTACAAGCGGTACGTAGACGACACTTTCACAATTCTACCTTTAGATAAAGTAACTGCATTTTTAGACCATCTTAACTCCATAAATTCTAAAATTCAGTTCACAATGGAGTTAGAGGCAAACAATTCCTTAGCTTTTCTAGATGTGTTAGTAATTCGGAATTCTGATAACACCTTGAGCCATACTGTGTATAGAAAAAAGACCCATACAGATAGATATTTAAACGGTGATTCTCACCACCATCCTTCACAGTTAGCTACTGTGGGTAAATCTTTGTTTCAGAGAGCACGAGGGATCTGTGATAGTAAACACCTGGCTGCAGAGCTCCACCATGTCAAGCAAGTTTTGCATGACAACAAGCTTCGAGTCCCGCGCCTACGTCACAGTGAACGAGTGAAGCCGGCCACAGTCGAGCGTGTACCTGCTGTACTGCCATATGTTAGAGGAGTCACTGACAAGATTGGCTACATCTTGAAGCGCGCTTCCATCAAAACATACTTCAAGCCGCTGAAGAAGATTGGTCAGTTTTTACCATCGGTCAAGTGTAATGTCCCTCTGCAAGATGCAGGAGTGTACAAGCTTGATTGTGAATGTGGTCTCTCCTACATAGGACAAACTAAAAGATCAATAAAAACCCGCGTTAAAGAACATATAGCTGATGTGAAGAATCGACGCTCCGGGAAGTCTGCAGTCTGTGAACACGTACAGGATCGCCCCCGTCACTACATCAGATTTGATAG